GCAAGTTATTGACATCATTATGGTTCAGTTTTCATACTTTTTTTGAAGTCATGAGATTACAGGCAAAAGCATTTTTTGCATGCACTGGTCAGTTTTGAGATTTTGGGTTATTTGACCTTCAGACTAGTGGAAAGAAAACATCCAAAATACACTTAAATTAAAATACCTAATTTTGTATTTTATCTTTACAATACCAATATCTTTAAAAGGCCGTTTTCTCAAAATGAGACTGTATTCGACTATTTCCTGTACAGTTGACTGGAGTAATAAAATCATCCAAAACCTTTAACTGTAATATGTAAAAAAAATTTTTAAATAAATAATGCATAATATGCATATTTAAACAACATTCTAGAAAACATGTAATACACATTTTGCAATTCATAATGTAATCAATCATCCTGGAAAGTATGGTGACATTTATTAGTTACTTTTTTTTTTTAAATACCTTATTCACTTTGGTATTCTGCCTTAAACCAGTATTTTAAAGGCATATTTTGAGGTTGCAGTAAATTGTTGAGGCTGATATATGCCATTGTTCTCCTCTGAACACAGTGCGTTTATCCTACTGGCTCATAGGGTCGGTGATGTTGACGTACTCACCATGACTAATGGCTTTATCAGTAGCTCTTGCTGTGATGTTGCCCCTAGCTATCAGACATGGATCCAGGTCTCAGCTCTCTGTAGCTGTGTGTGTGTGTGTGTGTGTGTGTGTGTGTGTGTGTGTGTGTGTGTGTTACTTGTGCATGTTGTGTTTCCAGGAAGGCTACGCTTAGAGCGCTTCTGTTGATCGTTGATGAGCTGTCAACAATGTCTGAACCTTTATCACACAGGCACATGTGTAACCAGCACATTTAATATGCAATTAATACTGGATTATTTGCATGTAGTGTTTGGTAGATGTTTTGTTACATAAAATATGGCTGAAAAGAAATAACATGATACATTTAGTCAGGTTTATGCCTAGAAAACATGATAATGGTCAAGATACATTCTCTGAATTTTAATAAGTAGCTTCCAGCTATTAATCTTTTAACAATCAGTGATTTTATAAAGTTTGAATAATCTGATATCTTTGAATACGGATACGAATACAGTTCTGTGCTACAAATTTTACTTGTGTCTGGTTCATCACTTTTTCTAGACATTTAAGGGATATTTCATTTGTTTTGCTAGATTATGACTATTTTGGTTCTAAGATCCTTGATAGTGTTAGGGAGCTTTATTGGTCTGTTGCACCTTCTAGAATTGTAATGGAAACCAAGAAAATAATTATAGATCAACAAATATTTTAGTCAAAGTCAATATGAAATAATTGACCCCATTTTTATTTTCTTGCACATTCCTGCTCATTTTGTGCAAATTTTTGTTGCATGTGATTCTAAAGAACAAAAAATGTCTTCATAAACTATCATCAAAAAGCGAGAACTCAGTGTCCACCTCTTTCCTTCGGACTCTGCAAAAAATCCTATTTTAAGTATTTTTTGTCAAAATGTTTGTTAAAATATCTAAAAAAAATTGTGAAACAAGATGTATGATAGATAGATAGATAGATAGATAGATAGATAGACAGACAGACAGACAGACAGACAGACAGACAGTGTCATGTTTATGGTCTGTTTTTGTTTTGTTTTCTCTGTGTTTCCATGCCCTTATTTGGTCCTTCCCGTTCCTGTACTAATTGTTTCCAATTTGTTCCATGGTGTTCCTTGTCATTTAGTTATCCTCATCAGCTGTCTTCCCCTTGTTATCTGCCCGATTTGAGTTCTAGCCCCGTGGACCTCCCAGACACCAAAGGACTCAGCTGGAGGGAAGGGATCCTCCGGTGTCTGGAGAGTGTCCGGCCCTGAGCCAGAACCAGCCCGTCGGCCACGGCATTCTCAAGTCCGCCGGCCGTTCCTCAGTCAAGCCCACCAGCAGCCCAATTCACCCGTAACCAAGGGAGGAGGATGAGGAGAAAACGACTGTTCACAGCCCTCACCCCAGCCCCAGAGCTTGCTCCAGTGTGGGCTCCAGCCCCCGAATCCAGCCCAAGGAGGGCTCCTGTTCACGAGTTTAGCCCACGTAGGGCTCCTGTTCCCGAGTTTAGCCCACGGAGGGCTCCTGTTCCCGAGTTTAGCCCACATAGGGCTCCGGTCCCCGAGTTTAGCCCAGTGAGGGTTCCGGTCCCAGTGAGGGCTCCAGTCCCTGAGTTTAGCCCAGTGAGGGCTCCAGTCCCCCAGTTGAGCCCAGGGAGGTCTCCAGATCCCCAGTTAAGCCCAGGGAGGGCTCCAGATCCCCAGTTAAGCCCAGGGAGGGCTCCAGATCCCCAGCTAAGCCCAGGGAGGAGGGCCCCAGTCCCCGGTTTTGGCCCCGAGAGGGCCTTGGAGCCCGTAATCGTCCCCAAATTTTTTTTTTGGGGGGGTAGTAGGGCTCCAGCCGTAGAGGCCGGGGCGGGGGCTGGGGCCGCGGCCTCGGAGGCTGTTCTGTCATGGCAACCTGAACTGCCTGCACTGCCATGGCCTCCTGAGTCCCTTGATCCGCCATGGCAACCTGAACTGCCTGATCCACCCTGGAGGCCTTCCTTGTCTCTGCCCTGTCCCTGTCTTGCACCAGCCTCCAGGGCACCCACCCCCCTCCCCGGTGGTATTGTTACGGCGTGGGACGCGCCTTCTGGGAGGGGTGAGTAATGTCACATTTATGGTCTGTTTTTGTTTTGTTTTCTCTGTGTTTCCATGCCCTTATTTGGTCCGTCCCGTTCCTGTACTAATTGTTTCCAATTTGTTCCATGGTGTTCCTTGTCATTTAGTTTTCCTCATCAGCTGTCATCCCCTCGTTATCTGCCCTATTTGAGTTCTAGCCTGTCCTGTTCTCCCTTGTCTGGAATTGTTCATGTCAACCTTGCTACGTGTGTTTTTCTGTTTCCTTTTGATTATTAAAATTAGTAAAATTCTCCTATGTCTCCTCGGTCCTTTGCTCCACGCTCCTACACAGCAGCAGTCACGTAACAGATAGATAGATAGATAGATAGATAGATAAAAGTTAAAAAAACTCTTCTCATTATGAAACTTTTCTTTTTCCAATAAATTCCCAATGATAAAATCTAGTCCTTGCCTTATTTTTTCTCGTTTGATATCCTGTTACACCCAAAATATGTTTCATGTTTACTTATTTAATTCTATTAAAGGAAAATTCGATTTTGCGCAGAGAAAACTTAGAAACTGCATGTCATGTCGGAGCCTTGGCTTAGCAGCACATTGGGCCTTGGTGCTCATGCAGCTGGTATGAGTTCAAATCTGGCTTGCTGTCTTTTCCAATCCTTTCCTTATTGTTTCCTATTTTATTTTTCATTATCAAATTAGAAGTTTCAAAAAAAAGAGGCTGCATGTCCTTCCACACTACCAGACGGAGAGTGAATGTAAATAGCACCGCTGCCGGTCACAGGTCACTGCATCCCACAACATTAAAGAGGAAGTTTTCTTTCACCAGAGCTTGTTTTATTCCTCCGATAATCCCTGGTGCCTGGCTCTCTCCTGCAAGCGTATAAAGAGGTGTCAAAGGAATTATTCACCCCTTCACGTGGTTCATGAAGAAATCCACATTGATGTCCGTCCCCGCCGGCCATTCTAGCGAGCAGCTTGGCCATGAATAGCAGACAGGATTAGTGCCAACAGGACAGAATGAGAAGCGAGCAGACAGAGGGAGGAAAGAAAGAGGCAGAGTTATGGGGCGAGGCTCAATGAGAGTGAAAGTTCCTCATATGACTACTTGTCTACAGTGTTTCCCCTTCTGCACTTTCATCTAAGCTAGACCTGCGCTACGAAGAGAGATCAAGTCATGAAAATGAATGTTTTAACCCTTTGCTGCCTAATCTCCCGTGATTGTTGCAGCTGAGTTTCTCACGTGTTCAAAGATCTGCTATTTCGTCCATTATGCTCGTGTTGTGTCTGCTCCTACCGGCTTTAGGCGACATTTGTAATCAAATAATCTGACCACCAGACGGGGGAAATAATCATGTGATTTGATGACGAGTTGTGTTCAAGTATGGCAAACAGGCCCCTATAAACACTCTTGGCTAATTGCTTTAGTAAAATGGTATGGATTAAAAATCATACAATGTATGTGTAATCATAATCATAATAGGTATTTTAATATTTACTAAAATCCAGTTAGACTAGATTAAATTAAATTAGATTCAACTTTATTGTCATTGTGCAGAGTACAAGTACAGGGCCAATGAAATGCAGTTAGCATCTCACCCACTGATCTATAATATATCAGTGATCTCACCAGAAGTGCAAATAGCAATGTAGCCTTTATAAATAAATGTAAGTATGTATATGCAATATATAAAGATTATTATTAGGGATTATTATTATGTAATATTTAAAAGATTAATACTGAAGATAAATATATTATGTGATTAATATTTTTTTTGAAACTATTTTTTATATATTTTAACGGTGAAACAGATCCCGTGGTGATATTGTGTGAATTGGCCTGGGACAAAGAGGATTAAATAAGTACGTGCATTTATTTATTAATTAACCATTTTAACAGCATTCTTGTTGCTCAAACAGTAGAGTACATGATACTAGCAACAAGATCATGAGTTTAATTCCCAGTGAATGCAAAAACTGATAAGATTATCTCTTGAATGGAATAAAAGTTTGGATAAAAGCATCTATAAATTGTAACCCTATTTTATAAAGAGTGAAAGATGTCCAAGTATGAATATACTGTAATAACACTGACGCTCCACCAGACCATGTGAGCTCTAAATTGGCAACACAATAATACTTTAGCAAAAATTACCTACTCAAATGTAGCAATGGGTTAGAGTGAATTATAGTTGCACCATTATAGACATCAGTCTGCAAACAAGATAATAAGGTATTTAGCCGGAGATCAGGCTGCTCTTAGACCAGCGGGCTAAAATTAGACCTGGTCCATGATGAGGCCAACACTTTCACCATTTGTTGTTGTTGTTGTTATGTCTGCAACAGTTTACAGTCAAAGCTTAGACCCTCTTCGATTAGCATATCAGGAAAATGAAAAGCCACAGGTGACGATTGACTGGATTAAGCCTTCAGAGCCTGTGTTATGGAGAGTTTGGATGGAGAACATGGTCTGTCTGATGGTAAGTTCCTAACTTTCTAAAAACTCATTGATTTTCTAATTGCTAAGTCACTGAATGCTGATTTTACAGCTGTTTTAGGAGGTGTCTGTTTGGTAAAATGGTGTATGCCTATAGAGTTGATGTTGCTTCAGAGAACATTGTGACTCCATTGATGGTTCATCATAAGGATGTAGAGGAGAAAAGCAATGGTCTGCAAAAGTGATGCTCCGTCATGCAACCAAAACTTTGAACTTTTGCTGTCTGACACAAGCATCTGTTGACCAGTGAGAATTTCAGAGAGGCAAGGCATCTTTCAGAAACAACTTTTGGAGCGAATTACTGATTTTGCTGTATTTTAACTGAAAAAAAAAAAAACATATTCACAAACATCGGTATCGGGCGAGTACTGGAAAAAGTGGTATCGGTGCATCCCTAATATATATATATACATATACATACACAATGTATATATGTGTGTATATATGTGTGTGTGTATATATATATATATATATATATATATATATATACGTATACACATCGCAGTCATTATTCACTGAAATCAATTATTCCTAAAAATAGGAGCTAACAAATCACATACTCATTCATGTTCATATTAAATGCAGTTCTTTACATAAAATTGAGTAAATCATAATCATGTAAATAAGCAGCTGTTTCAGTCTGTTCCTCACACAAAGCTAATGTATGCAAACTCGGGCTCCTGTCTCTATTGTTCTGTCAGTGTCTCTTCATTGATTTGATCACATGTCCCTCATCTCTCTGTGTCTCTCAGCTTGCACTTTCAGGAATGAACAGCCTCATGTATAGCAGTCATGCTCTGTGAGGAGTCATCAGCTGGACTCAGTGCTGGTCCGGATTCTGTGGTTCTGGTGAAACCGGATGCTGAGACCTCCACGGATCCTGTACAGGAGGCCATTCACAGTAGCACTTATGTTTCTTCTGTGATCCCTGTACACGGCGGCATCAGGTGGGTCAAAATCAGGGTTCCTGGAGGACCACTGCCCTGCTGAGTTTAACTCAAACCCTGATCAAACTCACTTACCTGTGATTTTCTAGGGATCCTGAAGACCTTGATGAACTTGCTCAGGTGTGTTTGATTAGGGTTGAAGGTAAAGTCTGCAGGGCATTGGACCTCCAAGGCAAGATTTGAGGAAGTCATTCAGCCAAATGGCACAAAGAATCTGATGTCCCATTAGACATTGGTAACATGTAATTGTGTGCAGTCCCGTGTACGTATTTATACATTTGACGTCAGAAAGTTGACATTTTTGCTGCTTGATATTGCGTTGTGGATGAAGTTGTGAGTTGTGAAAGTTACAGTACATTTTCATAATAAAATGAACTATTGAAGCTGTAAAAAAAACAAACAAAAAATTGCAACTTTTTAATGTTTTTGAAGAGTCTTTTATGCTCACCAAGGCTGAATTTTTATTTGATCAAAAACACAGTAAAAACAGTAAATATTATTACAATTTAAAATAACTTTTCATTATATTTCAAATGTAATTTATTCCTGTGATTCAAAGCTGAATTTTCACCCAAAATGAATTTGCTCAAAGTGTGCTCACCCTCAATCCATGTAAATGAGTTTGTTTCTTCATCAGAACAGATTTGTAGAAATTTATCATTACATCACTTGCTCACCAGTGGATCCTCTGTAGTGAATGGGTGCCGTCTCTGATTTCACTGATGTGTTATTATGAATTATTTATTTTTTGGCCAGTTAAAACACCTTAATGATGGATTTGTTTATTAAAAACACCCAGCTTTTCACTTCACAAGATGTTAATCGATGCACTGGAGTGGTGTGGATTATTGTGATGTTTTTATCAACTGTTTGGACTCTCATTCTGACGGCACCCATTCACTGCAGAGGATGTAATGCTACATTTCTACAAATCTGTTCTGACAAAAAAAGAAACTAATCTTGGGTGGCCTGCGGGTGAATACATTTTCATTTTTAGGTGAACTATTACTTTAAAAAGCTTTTTGGCTCATAAATATTTAATGTAGTATCCTGGAATCTTGTGTGATCTTTACACTCTAAAAAATGCTGGGTTTGTTCAACCCAACTTTGGGTCAAATTTGGACTAACCCAACAGTTGGGTTAGTCCATATTTGACCCAACATTGGGTTGAAACAACCCAGCATATTTTAGAGTGTAGCTATTGTTCTCTGTATCTGCAGAATTGATGGTTGATATCTGGGTCTCTGTTTTCAGTCTGAACGCTGACGAGCCGTTCTGTCGTATCTGTCATGAAGGCAGCGGCACGGGTGATCTGTTATCTCCCTGTGAGTGTGCCGGCTCTCTGGCGATGGTGCACCATGTTTGTCTGGAGCGCTGGCTCCCGCCCTCCGGCCCCAGCCACTGTGAGCTCTGCCACTTTGAGTTCGCTCTGGAGAGACTTCCCAAACCGCTCACCGAGGTAAAATCATCAGCAGCAGTGCTTGGGAATGATTTTTATCCTCTGAAGGATAAAATCCTCTACAATTTGCACAGTTGTAAACATTCAACCCACTTTTGACGTCAATGAAAAACTATTTTTTAGCTCCATTTATTCTCATTTTGCAGGTTCAGCAGGTGATAAAACTGCATCTTGAGAACCGACTATTTACGCTTTCTGTAATTCTGTTGGTGGCTGCATGTTGCTATGGAAACTTAGATATTATGTGACCTCAGCTGACATGTACTGCATCAGTCTGTCAGTCTGACTTCAGAGTTTATGTGAGACACTGGAATAAAGAGAACTAAAACTGTAAATGGACATATATAATAACACTCTCTCCATAATAGTCAGATGGAAAGTGTTTTTAAGCGGCATTATTAGCATCCGTTCTCCTGCAGTCAGTCACTCTTGAGTCTGAGTCGTGTCCCCGCTTCACATATTGGCAGGTCTGCATTCCCTCGGCTTCTTTTAAACACTGATCCACTTAGCAGGAAAATGAGATTAGATGAGGATCTTATCCCTGTCGCTGCTGCTTATCTCATGTTTGGGCAGAGGACAGGAAGATGACACAACAGTCCTTACTCACATTACAGAACCAGTGATTTCATGATGGATTTAGCTGTTTGATCTATCTCTCTATCTATCTATCTATCTATCTATCTATCTATCTATCTGTCTGTCTGTCTGTCTGTCTGTCTGTCATCTATCTGTCTGTCTGTCTGTCTGTCTGTCTGTCATCTATCTGTCTGTCTGTCTGTCTGTCTGTCTGTCATCTATCTGTCTGTCTGTCTGTCTGTCTGTCTGTCATCTATCTGTCTGTCTGTCTGTCTGTCTGTCTGTCATCTATCTGTCTGTCTGTCTGTCTGTCTGTCTGTCATCTATCTGTTCTGTCTGTCTTCTGTCTGTCTGTCATCTATCTGTCTGTCTGTCTGTCTGTCATCTTTTCATTCATTCATTCTTTCTTTTTTAATTTTCTTTCTTTCATTCTTTTTTCTTTCTGCATGTATTTCTTATTCTTTTTACATTTGCTGAATTATAATATGCACTTATCTATGCATTATGTAAAGTGGTTTTGTGATATGGATGGTTGCAAATAAATGTTTTTCTTTATCTTAAGTTGTCTGAATTTTAAGCTCCATTTGTAAAAAGGTAATAAAAAAATTTGAGTTATTAACCAAAAAACACATGAAATAAGCTTTCAAACTGCCTTAATTCAAGTATAAACCCCTCCTAATGAGCTGTTTTCCGTGGCTGCAGTGGTTCACCACACCTTCCATGCAGCAGCAGAGACGGACGCTGTGCGGAGATGCCATATGTTTCCTGTTCATAACACCCTTAGCGGGTCTGTCAGGCTGGCTGTGTGTGCAGGGAGCCATGGATCTGTACTACAGCAACGGCATGGAGGCCGTGGGACTCATTGTTCTCACACTGACACTCTTCACTATTTACCTCTTCTGGACTGTTGTAAGTTTACTCTTGTTTTCAGTGTAGCAAAACGAAAGTGCAATGACATTTTACACCTGCAGTGTTTCCAACTGGTGCAGCATAAGAAACTACTCTGATTTAGAAAACAAAAACACACATTAATTAGATTTATGACACCCAGGATGATACAGTGAAAATCGAATAAAGAAAAATGTCAAAATTGAAAAATGAACAACAAATTTGTACAAGTGTATAAAATGTCAAATGATGAAAAAATGGTTCTAACTTTTCCACATGATCTTCCTTTTTAACCGCAGGTATCCCTACGTTACCACATTCATCTCTTCAGGATGTGGAACGAGACAAATCCCAGCGTCCGGCTACAGATTCCCCATCCTGTGAAGACACACCTGAGACCAAAACATCTAACAATGCACTTCTTGTGCAAATACAAGAATAAGGAGACCATGGTATAGTGCCTGAAACATCACCAGGAAGAAAACAGCTGGCTACTTCAGAAAAACCCTGATTTCATGATGTCCTGATTTTGTGTGAAGCCCTGATTTCGAGTCACTCTTAGATCTGGAGTGACATTCTGATTTGGAACTCACATGCTGAACTGAAGCGATGTCCTAATTTAGAGTGAAACCCTTTTGAAGTGGATGGCTTCATCTTCACTTGTGTTTTTAAATAATGGAAGACTTTAAAACAAGGAACGTTTCAGTCAGAAAATGTCAGCATCTGAAATGCATGGAAATGCAGGAAAAGAACACGTCTTCATAAATAAACCAGAGAAAAATGGTGAGATTATAACGATTGAGCTATGTATACCTGTAGGTTTTACCTTACAAAACTGCTTCATAATTAACATGAGAAAATATACACTTTTTTTCAGCAAGGATGAGTTAAATTAATCAAAAGTCACAGTAAATCATTCCTTTCTATTCATCAAAGAATCCTGAATATTTTTCTTACACTTTCCACAAAAATATTAAGCAGCACAAATGTCTCCAAAAATGGTAGTAATAATAATAATAATAAATGTTTCTTGAGCAGCCAATCAGCATATTAGAATGATTTCTGAAGGATCATGTGACACTGAAGACTGGAGTAATGATGCTGAAAATTCAGCTTTGATCACAGGAATAAAACATTGAAATTCAAATAGAAAACAGTTATTTGAAATTGCAATAATATTTCACAATACTGCTGTTTTTACTGTATTTTTGATTAAATAAATGCAGTCTTGGTGAGCAGAAGAGACTTTTTTTTTCTCACCCTAAACATTTGAACGGAAGTGTAAAGTTGCAAATTATTTTATTTTAATGAATTCATTCAAATTTGGCACCAGTCACCACAACCTAAAATACGAATTGTCAGTCCAATTCAACAGCAAATTTCAGGTGAATGGGTTGAATATCTCTTTTGATATAATCTTTTGACTCTCTCTATCTGTCCGCATTTCTGCACTGTAAAAGATGATATGATTGGTAAGTCATGCCAACTTATGTTTTACATTACTGTAACTCATCAAAATAAATTGAGCACCTTTTGTTAAATGAACATCAACTTGATATTTTAAGTCAGTTTAATGTAAATTAAGTTGAAATGACTTGTACAACCAAGTTGATTGTACTTAAACTTAAGTTTTTATGTTGAAATAGTCTGAATGAGGACATGATTTGATTCCAATTGTGAAAGTGAGAAACAAGCAAATAAAAACAGGTTTTACATTTTTTTTTACCCTTACATTGCTGGTACAAATAACCTGAGGGTGTTTCTGAATCATTCAGAGAGAAGATGCATGATCGTACAGCATCTAGTGAACAACAGACTGGCTAGTTTTCCTCACTTCAACACAGTCAGAATACAAATAGCTCCATTCAGTGAGGCGAATGGATCTGCATTCAGTAAAAGAGCAGTATGTGTTAGTATTCACACTTTGAGATGATTTACAAGCAGGCGAACCACAGTAGTTCAATGTTAGGCTAATGTGCGCAACTGAGGAAATGACATACAAAAAGACTTGATAGGCGTGATTGGTGAGTTTATCAAATTCTATGTGAGAACAGCACAGATTTTACCCATTGGCAAAATGAGTAACAGTAAATCGTAATGGTAACATTAGTTAACAAGAACAGTGCTTAAAAGAGAGATGAAGGGAATCATGCATCTCTGCTATTGAACTCATTGTCCAATAATTGCATCATTTGCACAGTAACAGCTCAGAGTCTAGAGAAGCACTTTTCTTTTTTTAGGCATTTTAAGAAAAAACCAATGTTTGCCTCTAAACTGCAAAATTATTGATGTCTTTGGTGTTATTAATGACAAGAGCATCTGCAGTAAATAAATCACCTGTCACCTGTCCTTATGTTCAGCCTACAGCCACCAAAAATCTTTAGTTGAACTCTGTTGTTTGCATCTCTTAAAGCTGCAGTCCTTAACCTTTTTTGGTTAAAAATGATCCGAAATCAATATTTGAGCAAGTACATAACCAGCCAGTGTTCAAAACTATCGCCTTACTTTAGCCCGATTCACAACGGTTAGCTTATAATAATGTTTTCTAATTTGAGTTGTACAGGTAGGTTTGCACGGGAAATTCGAGCATGCTGCTGCGTCATTACGTCACGTCTGTAAACATAAAGAAGTTGTCCCGGCTACTAGTCTATCGCATGTGAGGATCCTGCAGGTGGCGGATCGTTTATAGCCTTTTCTCACAGCTGCTAGAATAATTCAATGTATCATTTTGATGGCGGATTGTAATCCAGAAAGGATTATGTGTTTATGAAAAAAGGGAGCATAATTTGCTTTTTGGGTTAAAAGAATTTCTTAATATGAAATTCGAAGAGTACGACAATTAGATTAGACTGCAGAAATTGAAATCTACACGCTAATACACACTGTACTCATAGTCACCAATGCTGATGTTGTTAACATTAATCATTTGAGAATAAAGTACAACAATAATAATAATTTGAACGGTTTGATGTGATATGAGCTAACCAATCTTTAGATTAAATCACCATATAGCGTGATTTATGGTAATGCTTTTTTCCACAGTTGGTCAGAACAAACATGGCAGATGTGTTACTTACTTGTTCAGATGACAGTATACGGTGAAAATTCTTATTTGGGTCATATTCCAAGACGTAGGCTAGAATCTGT